TCTGTTTGCACACCCACACCCCTGGTATCTGTGAATTTAAATTTCCTGTGTGTGGATGTGTGTGTCTGTGTGTGTGTGCACACACACACATGTGCACTGGGAATGGAACCGAGAGCCTCGTGCATGCTAGGCAGCTGCTCTACCCTGAGCTATACCCCAACCCCAAATTTCCTCTTTTATAAAGACACCAATCAGATTGGATTAGGGCCCACCCTAACAGCCTTATATTAACTTGATCACCCCTTTGATGGCCCTAGCTCACAGTCATGTTCTAGGGTGCTGGAGGTTAGAACTTCAATGTATAGAGGAGGCACAGAATTCATCTCATGGTAGGAATGCCTTGGATAAGGTGTAACCAATCCCTTGGGGTTCTCAGAATATCAGCAAAAACTGTTGCATGGGTAAGTGAATAAGTATGTTGTCCCATGAAAACCAGGGATGTTTAAATGAATAGGTACAATCACTTCAATGTCCACTAGCTTTCTGATTCAATAACAGAGAACAGGTAAAGCTGGAGGGCACAGACACCTGGGTCCTTCCTTTTGGCTGAGCCACTGATAAAGGAGACACAGGATACCTTAAAGAAACCAGAAAGGAAAGAAAGCAAAAGGATTCTAAACTTCAGAATTCATATCTCAAAGCAGCCTCCGTCCTTACAGAACTTTTAAGCTTATAACCAATCCTGCCATGTTCTCTGTGTCATAGGAGTTTTGTACGTTTGGGCAGAGGTAGAGCTTGACACTCTCCTGGGCTCACAGTAAGAAGAAAGGAAGTGTGGGTCACAAGTCCAAGGACTGAATATTGGGAAAACCAAAGGAAATACAGTCATGTGATACTTCGCCATGGGGATATGTTCTGAGAACTGCATCGATCGGCTGTTTTGTTGTGCCAACAACATAGCAAGCACTGACACAAAACTAGATGGTATAGCCTACACCACAGGCTCTATGGCAGCCTGTTGCTTCTAGGCCACAAACCGGTATAGCATGTCACTATATGAAACATTGGTGGCAATTATAACACAATGATATTTGTGCATCTAAATACATCTAAGGGGCTAGGATTGTGGCTCAGTGGTAGAGCGCTCACCTAGCATAGGCAGGACCCAAGATCAATCCTCAATACCACATAAAAATAAAGGCATTGTGTTGTGTCCATCTACACCTAAAAAAATATTTTAAAAATTTGGGAAATGAGTTTAAAATAATAATAATAATAATAATAATAATAATAATAATAATAATAATAATAATAAATACATCTAAACATAAAAAAGATACTATAAAGAGTATAAAGGATTTTAAGATGATATACCTGTCTAGGCCCTTACCATGAATAGGAATTTAACCCAGGGGCAATGGGATTTAACCCCAGTAACCCTCCCACCCCAAATCCACTGATGGGGAAAGGGGGTACGGGAATGGCTTGGCATTAACAGATTAAAGCAGAAAATCTATTTGATCACGTCAATCAAAACTTACACAGCATTTAATAAAATTCCACATCATCTTTTAAGAAACACTCTTAGCAAATTAGTAATAGAAGATAATAAATTAGATATAGGACTTCCACTAAAGGTCTACTGGAAACATCCTACTTTTTTCTTTCTTTTTTTTTTTTTTTTTTTTTTTTTTAGAACTGGGGATTTAATTCGGGGCACTCAACCACTGAGCCACATCCTCAGCCCTACTTTGTATTTTATTTAGAGACAGCGGCTTACTCAGTTGCTTAGTACCTCACTTTTGCTTAGGCTGGCTTTAAACTTGAGATCCTCCTGTCTCAGCCTCCTGAGCCACTGGGATTACAGGCATGCATCCCTGTGCCTGGGGAAACATCCTACTTAATAGAATGTTTAATAAATCTTAGGATCATTCCTACTTAATAGGGAAATCTTAGGATCATTCCTTTAGAAGTCAAAAACAAGACAAGGATTGCCCATTAACATCACTGTCATTGAACACTGTATTAGAAACCAACCCAAAGGGGAGGAGGATGAGAAGTTGCATTACAAGGACTGAAAACACTGAACTGTATTTTTATTTATTCATTTATTTCCAACAAAAGCATCATCGAGCTAGAAAAGTGAGAATTATCTGTGAAGCTATTCTAGAATGAGTGAATTCAACAAAGTAGTCAGATCCTAGATCAACATTTTAAAAAATCAACAGAGCCAGTCACCATAGTGCATGCCTGTAAATCACAGTGACTCAGGAGGCTGAGGCAGAAGGGTCACAAGTTCCAAGGCCAGCTTCTGCCACTTAGTGAAATCCTGTCTCAAAATAAAACATAAAAAAGACTGGGGTATAGCTCAGAATAGAGCATCCCTGGGTTTAATGCCCAGTACTACAAAAATAAATAAATAAATAAATAAGCAAAAGCAACAACTGATTAGAAAAATAAAAATAAAATCCAGCCATAAATAAATTAAAACAATAAAGTCCCAGTGAGTGAATTGAAGGAAGCATGTTCAAAATATTTTGAGAAGAAATTATCCAAAGACAACTCAATAGTGCAAAGATAAAAGTCCTCCTTAAATTAATAACTTACTCATTACAACCTCAATCAAAATTCAAAAGGTTTTTCATGAAATTGACAATTTCCATGCCATTCCGCCCCATTCCCATTGCAGGGCCCACCCAGGTTTAGAACTAAGTCCCTTTCTTCACCCAAGTCTAGGCTCCTTCTTGGAGAAAACCTGCTTCATTGATGTTACCACCCTTTAAGTAATGAGGTCAGCTGAACCCAAGTTCATTGGTTAATCTGCAATTTTCTCCAGGAAGCTAACATTTTGAAGCAATGGGGGACAGGCAAGCTTTCTCACAGGTAAAGGAAGAGTCTTAGTAATGAAAGACCTTCTTTCATGAGTCCTGCAGAGTTTCAGTGACTTGTTCAAGATCCATAAGCTTGCAAAATTATAAAATGGAGTTTGTGAAATTACAAATCTATGAAAGTGTCTTCACTTTAGTGGTTGGTTTATGGCTTTAAAAATGACTACACTTGCCACCATATTATGGCAAATGGCAAAGCTGTAAATGCAGGTGAAGAAACTGCAAGGCTATTTCTCCTATATTAAAACAGGAAATTAATTAAGAAGGTTACACCTTGAATCATATTTTGAATTTTGATGCAAACAGTCTCCATCAAGTTAATCTTGCCAGGGCTGGGGTTGTGACTCAGTGGTAGAGGGCTTGCCTAGCACATGTGAGGCACTGGGTACAAGCTTCAGCAGCACATTAAAAAAAAAATAAAGTTTTTAAAATTACTTTAAAAAATTTACTCTCTCACACCAACATCTGCAAGGAGGCAGCATAAGCCCCTGTCTTTAAGCTGCAAAGTGTTGCTAGAGCAAATGCCTGAGGAAATTAAATTGTACTAGCATTTCTATTAGGATTTCTTGGTTTTGTAGCAAAGTTTATAAAGTTGCTTGTGTTTTGAGCAATCTAAGCATTTCCCCCATAAGTCTTGTTATTTTTAGTGCACTTTTTTTGCAGAACTCCAGATTGCTTAAAAAGAAAACAATGTATATGTCAGGCTATAGAAGAAATAAAAACCTGTACTCAAAAATGAAGCCAGTCTTCTCTGCCAACTATCATTCCTCACAGGTCCTGAGTTTTCCTGAGAGGTAGCCAGGTAGCCTTCAATTTCATCTGAGTGAAACAACTTTGTGTGAAGCTGTGAGGACAATTCTCTGGAATTTGGGCACCAGAGGCCATTATAATTCCTTTCTTCTCTCCTCCCTCCTGACCTCCAGGCCATTTAAAATAGGACAACTAAAAAGACCCAGTATTCCGTCCCTTCCAAGCTTACAGAATTTGAACAAGTCACTGGCTTAAAAATCATGGTGGTTATGGCAGGGGGTAAATTTTTTAAAACTGCCCTTGATTTTTGTTTTGCCAATTTATGACCTTGGACAAGTGACTTCGCGTCTCTGAGTCACCTGTAAAATGGGGCTCTTCGTGAAGATTTAATGATACCACCTGCACAAAGAACTTAGCACAAGATGCACATTTAACCCCTCAAACTGAAACATTATGGGCGGTGGAGGATTCTGGAGAGTTCTGACTACGGAGGCAGAGGAACCCCGAGCTGGGGAAGCAAGCGACGTGGCTGTGGCATTGCCGGGAACAGAAACGCTTGGACCGCCCCGTCTCTCCCGAGAGGCAGGCCCAGCCACGGATGGGACCCGGGCTTGCTCCCGCCACCATCGGCTCCCCGAAGCCCGCGGTTTGGGGGCCGCCTCCGGCAGCACCCGGGCACGAAGGCGGACTTCATTTCCCGGCGTGCAGCTCCGGCCGGGGACCCCTAGGGCCGTCCCTCGTGGGGACTTGTCCGGGCTGCGTTCGGGGACCCGGGCAGTAACCGCCATTCGCTCAGCTCCTATGTGGCGCTTCGCTAAGGGAGTCGGTTACCGCGGACCCCACCCGGGCCGCGGTCCCCACCAGGTGTGTCACAAGCACTGGTCCCCTCCCACGCCCAGCCCACCGGGCCCCAGGGAGGTTCAAAGCTGGGATCACCTCCCGCGGGGTTCCCCCTGGAGCCGAGAGCGTCAGCGGGAGCCGGGGCGGGGATGCGCCCCGCGCCCTCGCGGCCCGGGACTACAACTCCCAGGCGGCACCGCGGCGGCGGCGGCACGTCACTCGGGCACCG